TCCCACCCCCCCCCGCCAAAATAAATCACTGAAAGTAAAATGGAAGTGATTGGAAAAGGATTTAGATGTAATGTCATCTAACATATGAAGTGAAGTTAAATGGTACGTTTGTTCTAGTCCAGTCTTTACCATTATATCATAAGGTCCTCATCCATAATATTTGGAAAATGTATGAATACCTGGTGTTGGCTGATTTACTATTGAATTTTGAAAATTTGGACACCACTACATTTGTGACTTTTTTTGATAGTTAAGCATTTGCATATATAGCACCACAGAATTTTAGATTTGGCTAAAACACTTAACATTTTAGATGAAGAAGCCAAAATCCAAAGTCATATTTATTAAAAATGTTTTTCCTGCTAACAGTTTTTACTCTTATTCCTAATAGGGAAATATACTTTAATTTCAAAGAATTTCATAAAGCCAGAAATGACTAAAATTATTTTGGTTTAACAATTTTCATAGAAAAAAATTTAACTGATAGTTAAAAGACATTATATGTGGATTTCTTCACTTATAGCTGATATACCTTGGGTGACTGTGCTTTAGTTTCTTTAACCCTAAAATAAGAATGAACAGTGGATCAAGTTCGTTGGACTGTTGTGAAAACTAAATTAGAAAATGTACATTCAGTACTTAGCATAGAGCTAATTAAAGTTAGATACATGTTTCCAATTATTAATTAAACAGATACGTTTATAACATATATTAAATTCTGCCTACATGCAGGTAGTCTACTCTGATTAAAAACTACCCTAAGATTCATACATTTTAGTAAGCCAAAAGTTCCTTGCCCCATGTTACTCTGAATTGGCTGACTTTTTACATAATTCATAGTTATGAAACCATCTTGATGACAATGAAATTCTGCATTGTAAAGATCTGGAAATTCAAACTCATTTGCTTTTATTTCTACATACGTCAAGCTGTTGTCCTATATTGTAGAGTCATGGAGATTTATTTCAATCTTAAGAATAATATACTCTTAATTTTATGTGCTTAATTTATATGCTTACAGAAAAATATACATTAGTATTTAAGAGAAAATATCTTAGATAAAAAGGGGCCATCTTTGAAGAAAGATAATTAGCTTATTTTCATCGGCCATGTATAACAGCATCATCCCTTTCCCATTTTGCTTTGGTATGTTGATGTACAGATGGGTCTTCTTTGTTGACAAGGTACTAATGATGATGCCCCTATCCGTCTTCAGCTCTTCTTATTAGCTGCTAACCACCTTCATTTATTACTTCTGATTCCCTGCATGTTCAGTATATTAAATGTTTTTGTTTTTGAACTATTTAGACATTCTTTTTTTTATTCAGCAAATACAGACTGAGGGCCAATTATGTGCCAGGCACTGCCAGGTACAAGAAAGATGGTGGTGACATAAGAATGTGAGCTCTTCCCCTGCTAGGTGGTTCTCAACCAGAGCAGTTTTGCTCCCCAGGGGACATTTGGCAATGGAGACATTTCTCATTCTCATGACTGGCATCTAGCAGAGGCCAGGGATGCTGCGAAACATCCTACAAGGCCCAGGACAGCCCCCACCACAAAGAGTTACAGTTTTGCTCCCCAGGGGACATTTGGCAATGGAGACATTTCTCATTCTCATGACTGGCATCTAGCAGAGGCCAGGGATGCTGCGAAACATCCTACAAGGCCCAGGACAGCCCCCACCACAAAGAGTTATCGGCCCCAATGTCAATAGTACCAAGGTTGAGAAAACTTGCAGTTGACAGTGGGGGACCTGGTGGTCTTTGAGCGGGGAAGTGTCAAAGGATGTTGGTGCTGATGCCCTCATCAACCTGAGAGGAACAGCCAGCATAAGGATATCTCATTATATGCAATGGAGAGAATCCCAAAAAGCTTTGTGGCAGTCAGTGTTTTAGAAATGAAATCCTGTTTTAAATGTACTAGAACAGCTGCTGAATAGACGTATCTGGTGGGGGGGTGGGGGAGGGGTCAGTGGTGGCACGGTGGAGAAACCCGGCTGTCCCACGGCATCTGCTCGGCAGCCCTCACAGGAAAACCCAGAGTCTTCAGTCACAGGCCCAGTGATTCCCCTTGGCTATTT